TATATTAAGATATACTAAAAAAATAATAAATAATATAATTAGAAGTGTATAATTGTAATAAGAGAATTAAAGATATATGATATTGTTTTCTCGACGAGTGCCATGTAATAACGTCGAATGCACAAACAACATTTATTAAATAGATGCAAGCACCGTAAAGTATGACATCGAAGTTTGTAGAACCTTCAAAACAAGAGCATTATATCTCGTTAAAGAAACTCTATACATAACAAGCACGCGATAATTCTGCTCTTATTACCATGGTAAAGTTCTCCAGGGAGAAAATGTAGATCTTGCCAGCGCTTAAGAAACTCGGTCGTACACTTTTCATCATCACCATCACGATTAACTTTTGCGATCTCATGGATACTTCGTACCAGGTGCTGCTGTATCTGCCACATTTCAAAGAAATTGAATGCAAAAATTAATACAAAATTCTATTTTCTTCTACCTTTAGGTATCTCAAGTCACTTACATTTTATCGCACATCAGAGTGCTGTGCTCTATTAGCTTCTGTCCTTCGAAACAGAGACAGAATAAATGAAACAGTTGACCGAGAATGTACAACACGTATCTTATTGATATTAAAATATCGCCGTTTTGCTGCGTAAACTTTAATATGAAAAAACACAATTTAAAATTATTTATATGTTCTCTAAATTCCTTGAAATTCTACAGAATGAAAATTAAAGCTATCTTAAGTAAAAAAGATCAATTTTTAAGGACGAAATTTTATTCTTCAGAATCAAATTCAATTTGGAAGTTTTAGAAAATATGAAAAACAATTTTATCATAAATAAATACATACTTGCAGTAATGTAATACTTAATCCTATGGTTATTATGATCATTTGCGCGCCGAAAGGTATAGTGAAGATATTTTCGATATGTTCCACAAAGCTATGATAAACGAGAAATAATCGTAAAAGGAATCTTCGCAAAAATATTGTTTCATCTTTAAATGGAGGATATTTTGTATTTTTTTTATTTTTTCATATATGATGTTATACACTCACTTTAAAGCATCTTGATGTTTGTTTATAAAGAATGCGATTCTTTCGCGATAAGTATCATTAGAATTATTTGCAATTTTCATTGTTTCATCACCTTTATTAAATAGATTTTCGAAATAGAATCTATAAACAGTTTGAACAACTCCTTTCTTTGTCTCCCTCTCTGTTTCTCTTTTTAATTTTGCTGACATTCCAGATAAATTAAATGTAAAAGTATTTTGATACTAGATTGGTGCAAAAGAATTAAATCATACTTGTCAAATAAAATCGAAAGTAAAATATTAGCAA